CCCCGAGGTGTGTTCTGTCTCTATGGTGATCGGGTGCCTAGCAACCAGGGCTGGTCAGTGGGTGGGGGGAGGGGCGGCCAGTAGGTCTAGAAAACAGTCCCTCCCTTTGCTCTGAAACAGGAAGTGGTGGCATTCTAGGGGCCCTGGGCCGAGGACAGTGCTGTCGGCAGCGGGAGATGGGTCCCTCCAGGCCCACCTGGCTCCACAGCACACCCAGGGGGTCAGAGTGGGGCTGGGCCACCCCCCTTTCTGTGCACAGGAGCCAGTCACGGCCCTGGCCGGTGTGGCTCAGTTGGTTTTGCGTCATCCAGCAAACCAAAAATATTGTGGGTTCGATTCCCGGTCAGGGCACATGCCTGGGTTGTGAGTTTGGTCCCCAGTCAGGGCGCATATGGAAGGTGACCAATCAATATCCTCCATGGAAGTGTCTCTCCCTCTCTTTCTCCTTCCCTCCCGAGAGAGAGAGAGAGAGAGAGAGAGAGAGAGAGAGAGAGAAATTGGGGAATACTGCTCTGAACAAGACAAGTCCCCGCTTGGAAGAGCTGACCTTGACCAAGAGGCAGGTAGTAACTGAGGCCCCATAGTGGGTGGAGGTCCCTGCCCAGATCCCTCTCTGGTTCAGTTTCCTGAGGATGGTAAACAGGACGGGAAGTCCTCAGGGAGCTGGGAGACTGGCTGCACCCACAGGGCGGGGCAGCGAGAGGGAGCACCTACCGCACCGTTGATGGTTCCCCGGGACAGGCGGGGCAAGACCCGGGTGGCCGTCTGTGAGAGGCTGTCCAGCCCCTCTGCTGCAGTGGCGGCGGCTCCGAGCTCCAGGCGACCGAGCCCTCTGCTGCCCCACGCCAGAGTCCAAACTTTGCACGCAGCGCATCAAAGGCCACCGACAGGCCCTGGTGAGTCCCCTCCGTTTCAATACAGGGTTTCAGCCTCGCCAAGCCCCAGTGCTCACACCTGTACAATGAGCACAGCGAACCCGAGCTCCTGGGGTCACGGTGAGGTGACAGATGAAAGTGAGCCCTGCCAATGCTGCTGGGTTTCACCCTTATTCATGACATATCTGCATTTCGATAAGTGTAGTTGGGTGGCGTTGGGAAGCACATGGCAAAGGTGTTTCTCACAGGTTTCCATGGAGAGGGACCACAGCTGACACCTGATCTTCTTTTCTCGTCACACCCGCCCCCCCCCACTGCCACCCACGCTCTACTCTCCTGCCAGCTGGGTCACGGGCTCCTGCGGATCAGCACGTCTGGCTCCACGCCACACCAACACACATGTGCGTGCTGAGCCCTGCTTCGGCACGCAGCGTGCGAAGCCACACAGAGAAACAGCTGGCGGGGACCGATTTGGCAATCCCGGGCTGTTTTGCCATCTGAACATGACTTTGGGAGACGAGGAGGGGCCGTTACTCATAGCACGTGGACGAAGGCCCTGTCGGCTCCCGTCGCGAAGGTGTCCTCACACCAGCTGTGACCGAAAATGGCCTTCCCCAGACGTTCGGCGCCAAGTGGTGTCCCACGCCCAAACCCTGCCCGGGAGTTACAGCAGAGTCACACAGGAGGGGCTCCCCCTTCGCTGCTGCGAGTCACACCCTTCTGCTTTGCTCTTGACAGGTCACCATCTGGCCCAGATGCTGGGATCCTCGCATCTGCTCCGACTAAACCAGCTGCCGCCAGCTGCGGCGCATGGGAGGGCCGTGAGTTCCCTGGGTGGGAGGCTCACGGATCATTTAAAAGTCAAACCACGGGCTGTGGAAGGGGGAACTGGGAGCGTGGGGGAGCCCGTGGGCAGCGGCAGCAATGACAAGGACAACGCGGCGTGGTTGTCGTGGCCGGAGAACGACATCGGGAAGCCGGGGACCTGGGGTCGAGTCCCGGGGGCCTTGAGTACCAGCTTCGCCCACCTGGGTTTCTTCTTCTGCTGAAAAAGGAGCCGAGACGGTTGGGAGCGGACCCCCTGCTGGGACGCTTGGCTTGCTAATTCACGGCAGCCCCCAGACCACCGGCTTCCCGCAGTCTGACACCTAAGACTCATCCACCCACTGCTACCCAGTGACCCCGCTGTCTGGAGGGGAGACGCAGGCATGGAGTCATTGAGTCACGTGCCCAAGGTCACACTGCAGCGCAAGATGGTGACAACCTAAGGTTTGGCTCCAAAGCACAGGAAAGCCCTACTGCCGACCTCGCCCGTGTTCCGGAAGCAGGAGGAACTGGGTGCCACCTGGTCCTGTCCCCGTCCCCTCTCCACCTTCCGGGGCCCCACTTTCTACGCCTCAGACACACAGCCGAGCAGCCCGCCCCCTCCTCCATTCACAGGGGGTCTCAGGCCCTCCAGGAGGGGGAACCAGGACGTGGGGCGGGGGATGGGGGCAGGGGGCTGAAGGCAATTCAATTTCCCGTCTTCCGCACCACGTGGAAACCCTGCAAGACAGGCCAGGTGGACCTCATCCTGCGCTGAGTATGTCAAGAAAAATGATGTGTTTTTTTTTAATGTGGTAAAAGATACATTGTATTCTAACTTTTAAACATTTTGGAGTGAAGATAAAAGAGGACACAGACAGAGTGAAGGGTGGAAGAGGACTTCGGGAAAGTCCAGTTTCCCTTTCCTAGGTGAAATTCATCACACAGAACATCAAACGGTGATGTTGCTGTAAGTTAAAAAAAAAAAAAAGCTTCTTGACTGGCTGTGAAAAGACTGGAAGCAGAGATGCTGGAAGAGAGAGGAAAACAGAAAATGCCCGCCCCCCCCCACCCCCCCCCCCCGGCCTGGGCCTCTCTTTCTGGAACATTCTCCAGTGAGGTCCCCAGACAGACAGCTGGACATTCCAACAGCCTTTCAGGGGGACCCTCAAGCTGAGAACAATGTCTGTGATAACAGGGACACTTTTGCCTTTTGCTGTGTTGGCGTTTGCACTGATGGGTGTGAAAAATGCAAGGGCGGGAGAAACCGCTGGGGCCCGGACCCCAAACAGCACCAGGGCGGTCCCTGCGGTCGCCGCCGCCTTGAACTTGCGGGGGCAATACCAGAACCCCGGTGAGGATGTCCTGTGTGGGGTGGTGACGATGTCCTGTGTGGGGTGGCGAGGATGAACTTTTTCTGACTTAGTGAATACACACCTTTTGCATTTCGGGGTCAAAGTGGACAGTGCACATAAGGCACTTCTGCTGCTGGAGGGGATCGTCAGTAGCATTGTGACCTCACGTGGCGTCTGGTGGGCCCGAGACTTGTCCAGGCGACCCCGGGGTGAGCTGTATGAATGCCCAACCACTAGGCTGTCCACCCCGAAACTGAGATAATACAGCAGGTCAACTGCCACTGGAAAGTAAAAAATTAGAAATACTGCTTTTATATTTAATATTTTAAAGTTGATATATAAAACAAATATTTATACTATCTTCAAAAAGCTGTTTGAGTTATAAGCCGAACTACCTCCTTGATTGACGGACACCGTTTTTATGGAAAGAACAACTTGGCAGCTTATGTTGATTCAGACTTGGGTACTTCACAGGGGTTTCCTCAAAAGTACTAAATGCGACGGGGCTGTCACTTCCAAGAAAATTTGGTGTTTTTTTTGCTGATAAAATTTGAGCCTGTGTGTAAAAATTTGAATGTTTGGGAATTTGTATCTGCCCCTGTGAGCTTGACAGCTGCCCGGTGCTTTGCTGATGAAATCGGTGGCAATAGTAACTGACGCAACTGCGCGGTGTTGTGCAGTGAAATGGGCCAACAGGCTGAAGCAACATTTTCCATGTGACTAATGCACAATGTCACAGGATCCCACAGGGGTAGAGATCTATTCCAAGTGCAAGACAGGCCCGTGGGATTTACTGTCACTGTAGGAAAGTTCGTAGGTATGGTTTCAAATTCCAAAGGCGACGAACCTTCAAGCAACTTGTCAGTGCGGGTGTCGTATAAAGCAACATCCACAGTTATCTGAAAGTTACTACCTTCCCCTCCCTCTTCCAAGTTACGTATCTCTGTGAGGCCTAATTCTCTTCAAAATGCATCACAACATCTGAAGGCAGCAGCAGGAGAATCCAGGCCCCTCCTAAGAAGCCAGACACCAAAAAGATTGGGCACCTGTAAAATGCCATTGTCGTCTTCTTATAAAAAGCTTTCTCATAAAAATGTTAATAATGTTGGTGGGCTGCAATGGGAGTAAAAGAGAGAAAACTGTATTTGAACAATGGTTAAAAGAAAAAAGAAAAAAGCACCCCCCCCAAAAAAAAAAACCCCGTTAATGTTATTTTAAAAATGAATCACTTTCAAGTGTGCGAATTTCTAACGTGGTGAATACTGCTGACCAGCCAGTGGCGTGCTGGTCAATGTTTAACAACCAGCCCCTGCGACGGAGGGAGGGTGGGCGGAGGTGGCCCTCTCAGCTGTACTGTGTGCTGATTTCGAGGTGTAAACACTCCCATCACGGCCAAGTTCAAACTGCCAGCTCGGCCCTGAAGCCCTGAAGCAGACTCCGAGAGCCCAGGGAGTACCGTGGGGGTTCTGGGGCGTCCTCACTCCTGCAGAGTGGGGAGGAGCCGTGAGGAGGAGTGTGAGGGTGCCCGTGTCCCAGGTCCACCACCCTCCTGTCTGCTTAAGGTGAGTCAGCCAGGTCAGGAGTCCAGGAGAGTCTTGGCCTCGATTGCCGAAGTCCTGGAACCTCAAAGCCTCATGCTCTTAAATGTAAACACCCCCAAGTCTCGTCTGTAGGTAGGTCTGCCACCTCCCCAGCCCCGGCAGACAGAACCCAAATCTTCCCATTCCAAAGGCTTCTTAAAAGAACTTTCGGTGGTCAGGAACGCTTTGGGGGAATTCCTGGAGGGAGGGCACACAGCTGGCCCCAGCTTGGTCACCGTTTACTTAGGCGGCTGTGTGTAAAATCGGTTACACAGAGACGTGACTCAGGGCTGACAGCCGCCGAGTGGGGTGGCCCTGGGCTCAGCGCCCTCCCTCCCCGCTCCGTGTGGGGGTGGGGACGAAGAATGACTCTGACGAGGAGGAGCTTATATAAACAAAATAGTTTATTATTTGGGAAAGAAACGGCCAAATCGCAAAACTTTTCTGCTTAAGTTCTGCCCATCGCTGCGCCGGAGGTTGACAAAGGGACTTCAGTGCCCGTCCCTCTTGGGTCGGGTTGCGTGACGCTGCCAACTCGGTCAGTAAAAAAAAAAAGTTAAACATTGGCTCCGGGTGGTTCGACCCCAAACAAAGTGAGCAGCGGCTGAGATCCGTGTTGGCAGGCAGCGTGTTCCCAGTCACGTCTGTCGATGTCACAGACAGACAGACAGACAGACAGACAGACATCCGAGCGGTCCCCAGATCCTTGTCCTGTTCCGAGTCACTGGGAACTGCCCCGTGTGGCTCTTCTGGAGGCAGTGCTGCGTTTATCAGCTCCTCTCTCTCTCGCCGAGCACGAGGGGGTGGCACAGGGACGGGTCCAGGTGTCCCCTCGCGCTGCTCAGGGCCACCTGTCTGACTTGCCCACCCTCGGGGGCCGGATCGTTCACGAAGGCCAGGAACACGCGCTGGCCAGGGAGCACCTTAGAATCTGCCGCACGTCTCCAGGGCGCTCGCTGGAACATCTTCCTACCGAGAACCGGTTCGATGCATCCTCTCCAGCCACGCTTGCTTACACCCTGCGCCTCTGGGCACTCAGCGTCCGAAACGTAAGAAAAGGACAAGCCTACGTCGCCGTGGCCGCTGCGCAGAAAGGAGCGGCGTGGGGTCCTGACGGCCCAAAACACGGACGGGACGGCGGGCTGCGTTCGTGTCTGAGCGTGTTCCTGTGGCGTCCCCTGCCCCCTGACCTTCAGCCCCGCACGGTGGGTAACTCTGTGTGCGGCTGAGACACAAAACGAAGCGTTCTTACATTTTTCTCCCAGTGCATTACTTTTATGGTAAAAATAGCTGGTACGTAAACCCCTCCTGCTCTCTGAAAAGGAGTCGCGTCTTTCCAACATTAGTTTTCCTATTTTAATCCTCCAGCGTCATCTGGGGCTCGGGAACGGGGCACGGGGTTGGCCGTGGCTGGTCGGGGAGGTGAGTTGTGGGGGAAACACAATGGGGTCGGGAAAGAAAACTCTGTGCGTCCACTGAGTTGAAAGGCATGCATAGGAATGGAAAACATATGGCATTTGTCAAGAAAAATACTGCTTTATAGCTTTTACATGACAATTAAAGGAGAAACCAGAGGCCAGGTGTGCCCCCAGATAATAACATTAAGTTTCTTATAAAAATTCCCAAATGTACAAAGTCCTTGCCAGATACAACCCGGGCAAAACAAAACAAAACAAAACACCAGGGATGAACCCTCTCAGACCTCTGTCCTGCAGGCCAAGTCGCTGTAAATAACGCACACCTTATCTTACACATCCTTGGCCCGCTGCGGCAGAGTCGACGTTTGCAAAACGCTGTCTGTGCTCTCGAAAAGGGGAATAAACCTTGCATCCTTATTTCACATACAGTAATATAATTATTTTAAATTACAATATACAATTTCTGTTAAATAGACCTGTGAGAGGATTCTGGTAACAATGAGAAGATTACAGTCGTATGTACAAACCCACTTCTGAAATGGCACTTTGCTTCCTGGCCCCTCCTGCCCTCTGAAACAGAGGCCGCTTTTGGCTTTTGTGACTCCTGGTTGCCAAAGGCCAACGAAAGTGGGAAGAAAAAAAAAAAAAAAGGTGTGTGTCCACGACGTGTTCGCTCCTCGGAGAATGCCCGACAGCCCGGCCGGAGCGGCAGGGCCACGCAGCCCGCCCCGGAGCGGGCCCCCACGGGGGGCCACGGTCACGCGACTGCGTCATAAATAGCTTTTCCCCACCCGCAGGCTTCAGAAGCGACACGCCGGGCTGCTCTGGGCGAAGAGCTGCGGTTTCCGACGGAGTTAAGGCCACTGCTTCTCGGCGACTTCCCTGGAGTGTTCCATCATCGGCCTGGCAGGGGCCCGGGGACAGTCGGTCAGGAGGACCCCGTGGGCGGCCCCCCCCCGGGGCCTCAGTCCTCCGTGTCCGGCTGGACGCCCAGGATGGCGTGCAGCTCCTCGGGCGTGAAGCCCAGCAGGTTCTGCAGGTCGCACACGAAGCGGTACACGTAGCGTTTGCCCGACGTCTTGTGGATGATGTTCTTGTCGTAGTAATAGCGCAGGCCCCGGCTCAGCTTCTCGTAGTTCATCTTGGGCTTGTTTTTCCTCTTTCCCCACCGGCGGGCCACCTGCGGGGGGGGGGCACGGGTGGAGACAAGTTCAATTCCACGGGGCACTTAAGAACACGGGAATGAAGTCCCCCTGATGACGACGCCGCTGCGTGCTCCCGGGGGGAATCCGCCCACTAGAAGACCCCGAAGGTGCCACCCGTTTTAGGACGGAAGGATGAGAGTGCCAGGGCACTGTGTCCCTCGGCTGGTTCTCGGGGGACGGAGGGAGGGGCGGAGCGCAGTGCGGTGCCCCACCCACAGCTCTGTCTGAGACAGGACTCCACACCTCCTGCTCCAGAAAACCGCCCGCAAGCCGAGGGTTCCCAACGGAGGGTTCTGCGACAGGGGAGGAGCTGTGTCCCCTCCCTCTACCTCCTGGGTTCTGAGTCCCACACTCGGACAACTGCCGAGTGGGGTTCTGAGCCAGGTGACATCACCCCACCCTCAATGCTTCTGTCTCCCAAGGGGATGGGAGGTGACAGACTGCGCCGGACCAGTCAATGACCCAGAACTTCTCTAATGCTGTCCCGATGGGCAGGTCTGGACCTGCCCTTGGCTTTCTCCTCCAGACGGGACTGGGGCGGCTCGGCCGAGCTCAGCTGTGGGGCACAGCAAAGCCCAGCAGGGCGCATGCGTCGGGGTCCAAGGCTCGCTCCCCCAAACAGAAGGAAGCAAGTTCCCCGAGGCGTTTTTCACACGGCCAGGAGAGAGCCTCAGTTTGCTGCCTGCACCCTTTTATTCAATGACAAGGCAAGACGGCGAACTCTGGCTGACTCCAGCGCACCTGCCCAGAGACACGGCACACCTGTCCACAGGGCCAGGGCCGCACTCGGGTTCCCCCCACCCCCACCAGGAGAGCCCCTCTTTGTCCCAGGGAACTGAATTTGCGAACCCAAAGGGGTGACAATAGGGTGGAAAGTCCTAAGGTCTCTGGGGCTCCGGCCATACCTCATCGGGGTCAGCGAGCTTGAACTCCCATCCGTCGCCGGTCCAGCTGATGAACGACTGGCAGGACTTGTCAGAGAGTAACTCCAGGAGAAACTGCCACAGCTGGATGGGCCCGCTTCCTGGGGAGAGGGCCGGGTTACAGGCTTTTATAGACTCAGAATACGGCAAGGCTTCGGCCATCCTAGTGAAACCAACAGGCTGAGGAACTCGCGCCCCCTTCCCGGGTGCTGCCGGGAAGGGCCACCCAGGTGCTGGTGACAGTGCTGGAGGCTGGCACGGTGAGGCTGGACACCAAACAGGGGTCTTCGTCCATGCCTCCTGCTCCCAGAGAAGAGGTCAGTGGACCCCTGAATGCTGGGAATCCCGGGCTACCGACTCTCGGCCTCAAGATTCGTCACGCCGCGTCACTGTCCCTTCTGTGCAGTGTGGGTTTCTACAGACGCTGGGTCAGGACGGGCGGTTGAAGGCGGGGCACTGAACCATAGAAGGCGGCGCATTATTCGTGGAATCCTGCGCTGTGGCTTTCTGGCCACGTGACGGTGGCTAAAGGGCTTAATCCAGGACTCGGATGTGTCCAGAGCCGCCTGGGCATCTGGAGCGGCACCCACAGCCTCACCACCTGTGTGCCAGGGCCTGTGCTCGGCAAAGTGCCCTTAATGGGCCTTTTCCTCATTAGTATTTAGAACCAGCGCCTTGTGCAGAAGCACCTTCCAAATACGAGGTATAAGACACAGCTCCGAGGCCAGGTGCCACACCCCGGATCACATGCCCATCCAAGACCTGTCCCCTAAGACACAAAGGCCGTCGGCTGGGAGGCTGGGCTGTGAAGCTCCAGGAGTTCTGGAACCAGACAGAACTGGTTGCCTGTGTCACCAGACAGCTGTGTCACCTGAGCGCATTTCCCCATCGGTAAAGTGGGTCAACGCCCCGCCCACGGTGGGCTGTCCTACCGATCACATGCCTGGCTGCCCACACCGAGAAGGCAGGTAACGAACACTGAAATGAAAACCCCCAACCCCACGGCTGTTTATTTTCCTGTCCGGCCCTGACCCCCAGGAGAGAAATCTACGACACTGCTCACTCACGCCTTGGGTATTTTTAACCCATCTCCACGGCGGTTTGTTTTACAGGGCAGGAAGAAATGGATGAGGCCTGCCCGTTCTTATTTTAACCTGTGAGATTCTTGTGAGGAGGTATTTCTTACATCCCCAGTGGCTCTCTATATAGTCAAAATAGCTCATTTAAGGACACTATGAAGCAATTGGAAAAAAAAATCTCTATTTTCGCTCAAGTGCTGGAAATATTTGTCTCTAAAAACAGCTGTAATATTTGGCCCTTGCCTAGAATAGCTCTTGCCCAAACCGTGCAAACAAGATGGGTTTTAGGAGCAAGGAAAGGTGAACAGTCCTGTGTTCTTTGAGGCCGGCTGGCTGCCCCTCCCCGAGCTGGTTTACATTCTTTGACATTCTTGGCGACAGTGAGTCAGCGCTAAAGCCTCCGCCGGCCCCTGTCCCCTCCTCTCCGAACGGCTGAGTGCATCCCAGGTGGCCGGAGCAGCCGTGGTCTCCAACCGCACCGCTAGGCCGAGTCCACAGCATTCCTACAAGGCTGGCCTTCTTGGAGTTCAGACACAGCTTGTCTGGAGTCGGGATTATACCCCACGGACCCCATGCATGGGGGTGCAGCGGCAATGAGCTCCGACCAGGAACACCCTCGCTAAAACCTGGCCGTGCTGGGCGGGGCAGGGCACGGGGGCGGGGACGGACTCCCGGCGCGGCACACTCCCTCACCTGTGAAGCCGGCCAGCACGGCCGCAGGTATGACCGGTTTGCCCTGCTCCACCGGGTCGCTCCTCTCCTGGATGTAATCCTTGAAAGACATGGTCGGCTTGCTGAGGCCCAGGGCCTGGCTGCACTCGTCCTCGCAGCTCTCGAAGGACGGCACCCGCTGCTCCAGCAGCGACGACTGGCTGTTCCAGGACTGCAGCAGCGAGTCCGAGCTCTCGAAGCTGCTGTCCCTGCCGTTCTCGGGGGCGTCCGGGTCTCCGGCCTTCCCTGGCGGGGACAAGCAGGCACACACTCAACCACGCGCCCGGCCACACTGCGGACGGGGCACTGGGCTCTCTCCGCCCCAACGGCGGCACATCGCTACCAACCACCCCCACTGCACGACCTTCCCTGCGGGTGCAGAATCGTTCAGACGCCCTAATGCTCTTAAACCGCGGGGCTTGCTCCTTAGAAGTATGCAGTACAACCACATCTCCCACCAACAATCGAATCGATCGATCGAGCGTAGCCTCATGGGATGGAGTCCGATACAGCAGCAACAAAGGAGTAGCGTGACCCCACTTATATCAAGTTCGAAACCAGGAAAAATGATGCCGATTATTTCCGCTTGGGGGGGGGAGGATACTGATAATGGGGAACGGGCAGGAGGGCGCCTTCTGGGATGCTGGAACCCCATCTGCACCGGGGTGGCTGCTACACAAGGTGTGTGTTTGTAAAAACCCCAGCAGCTGCATCCCCGGAAGCTTGAGCACCATGCGCACACGTCTCCGCAAAAAGAAATGTTAGATTCCTACGCTGTCCCCCAAATACCCCACTGGGTGGAGGGATCTGTCCAGGACAGCAGGCGCTTATTGCGTCTGGTTTACCCAATGCCTTCCCGGCCCACAGCCTGAAGCACGTCGGGGACACGCCTGCGGAGTGAGTCAGCCATCTGTGGCAGTGACCCAACGTCCCTGAGAAGGACGCGTCCTTGACTTCCCCCGACGGCTGAACACGGGACGGTGGACGGAGAAGCCCGTGTCGCCGTCTGACTGTGGCTGCCGGGTTCGGACCCAGAGCCCGCTGGAGGGATCGGCGGGGAGCCCCTTCTTACCAGCGCCGTTGGGGATCAGGCTCAAGCCGCCGCCCGCGAAGTCCTGGCTGACGGGGCAGTAGCTGACGTTGACCGCGCTGAGCCGCGACTTGGGGAACATCTGAAACTCCTGCTCGGCACCGAGGCTGCCGGGCGCCGCCGCGGAGGGACACATGTTGTCCAGGAGCCCGCCTTTGGGGAAACTTGGCGTCTGCATCCCGTACGGCGTCTGCTCCACGCCAAACCCTGGAACAGAGCCATGCGACCGCGCAGCCATTAGCGGCCGTACGTGACGACGAGGACCCTCCACACCTCTCACCAAACGGAATGCGAGCCGCTCTACAGGACCCCCGGCCTTCGCCGGCCCTCGGTGGACATGTGGGCTTTGATGGGTGGGCTTTGCACAGAGTTCTCCTTTTTCAAACCATTCATCCTCCCAGCCTCACATGCCCTTTTCCAAAGCGCCTGCTGCCTCGGGCCCAGGGCGCCGCGCCCCCGTGTTTACGCTGCTATGTCTCTCACGCACCAGGTGCTCTCACGCTTCCCTCGGAATGACAGGGGTCACTGGTGCTTTTGGCCTCCAGCGCCACTGAGGCTCGGACAGACTAAGTGATATGCACCTGTACGTGACACCCAAGTGGCATCTCCAGCCCCCTGCCCCCCGGCTGGCTGGGGGGACTGCCTGTAACCTATGTTCTTCACCATGTCAGCAACCAGAGGGCAGACCTGAAGTCCATGACCCCTTTTGCAACCCCAAAGGTCAGAGCACACGTGGTCTCGCTGACCCCCCACGGCCCGCGCCGGCCACCTCTCACCCCTTATACTAGACTCATCCCAGCCATATCAGCTCACTACATCCTGCCCTCCCTCTGTGCGTGGCCTGGACCGCCATCGGCCATTAGGCAATGGTCAAGTTTCTAGCAGCCCCGTTTAAGGTGTAAAAGGAAACGGGAAACTTGAACATTTTACTTGACCTAAGATATCAGTGATCATTTCAGCAGGTAATCATAGTACTTTTAAAATTAGGAAGGAGCTATTTTCCATTCTTTGTCTCGTACTGAGGCTTCCGGATCTGGTGTGCACGATGCTCTTATCACACATCTCAATGTGGACGAGCCACGTTGCACGCCCCAGTAGCTCCACAGCCACGCGAGGCCACCACACGGGTCAGCGCAGGCCTAGACAGTGCCTTTGGGCCGCCCGTGAACTAGCATGATGACTTAACACCAAGATCTTAGGGGCGGAGCACAGACTGACCTAGTGAATTGCTGTTGATCCAGTGAGGGACGGAGTTGAGGTGGGAATCCTCTTCGTACTGATCTTCTGCCTTCTCCTGGTTTTCTAAGGAACGGGAGAGAGGACGGTGGCAGGTCAGGAGCAGAACAACACAAGGAAAGAAAGTGACTTTCCGAATTCCTGCGTGTGGTTAGGTCAGAACAACTCCACGCAGTCAGTGGTGCACGTTTAATCCAACTGTGTCCCAAGCAATTCCGTCCATTAAAACACATGAGACAGCCATGCATTTTCGACAAGGAGAGGAAGTTTTCCAACATGAACGCCGTCACAGGCAAGTTAAATTTTCTACTGTGCCATCTGAAAGACCTCGTGCCAGCGAAGAGTGACATGCTGGCGGGGTGTCACCTGCCCCAGGTGGGGGCTGGGGACAGCTGGTGAGTTGGGCAGACTCCCTTCCCGCCTCCTTCTGAAAGATGCCTGTCCCCCCCCGCCCCGCCGCCCCCAAGGGTGCGGTGAGTGCTACACAGAAAGTGGGCCACAGGGGGACACCTGTGCCCAGGAACTTGGAGAGGGGAAAGGTGTGTGGCTGTGTGTATGTCTGCCCCCTACAAACACAGGGAGCCACACGCCCACCCACCCACACCCACACACGCAGCCCAGACTCACACCCGAGGAATGGTAAACCGGCCCAACTTGCTACAAACAGATGTCCCCAGAGCTCTGTCGGGTCAGACTTGTCCCAAGTTCAAGGAGCATTTGGGGGTCTCTAAAAATACGTTTCCCTGGCCCTCCGAAGCCATAACCAGAAAGAGCTGGCGGTTGACCCTGAGGTGGTTTTAAAATTCTGAGTCGACAGCAGATGTTGAAACTCAGTGCTCACCCAGATGAGGCCCGTTTGCCTGAACTCTACAAAGCGGCTCGTTTTCTTCAAGTTTTCACTTACGTGATCCCTCGCTACAATTTTTTTTTTCTTTTTTAACTCTGGCTTTTTAACAATGATCTCCATGCTCTTATAAGGTCTGATTCGAGACTTTCTATATGATAAGAGTTCTTTGTTCGGTGGCCAGTTTTTGTATAACACATCAGTGTGGAAAAACCTATCAGTTTGTTTAAAAACCTAAAACCAAAAAAAATGTATTTGTTGGACTCCATCTGGACTTGGGAAAATCTACTGTAGAATTCATGGAGTTTGTCTGAATAGAGGCTCCCTCTTGCCGAAGCTGGCTCATTTCTTCTGGTTCTGGAAGGGGAGCCACGCACCAGGGGGACTCTTTGAGGGCCCCTGGATCTAAGCCACCACGCCGTCCCCTCTGACGAATGCTGTCCGGCAACAGCGGACAAGTCAGTGACTGAGGTAACCGCTTCGAGGTGGCACTCGGGGCCGTACGTGCGCCCTGAGGTGGGTCCAAACCTACTGCCTCACATCCGACCCTCGCCCGTGGCACTTGCAGGCCACTTCCACCACTTAAACCTTTGACCCCACAGCTGTATGCTCTCCCCTCCCGTGGCTGGTACCTTTGATCATCTGCTCCAGGTGCTCCCACAGAATGTCGCCCACAAAGTCCGGTGCCAGCTCCAGGAAACGCTCCTTGCCCAGGTTACACAACACCTGGCCGTTCATGCCGAACCTCTGCAGGTTGACGTTCACCAGGCTGAACTCGTTGGTTGCCCAGAGCAGCCACTGGCAGACCTGCTGCTCCGTCCACAGCCAGGGGTCTATGGGGAGGGGAGGGAAGACAGAGCGAGGGAGGGATGAATGGAAGGAGGCAGTAAAACCACAGGAGTCACTGCTGATTTACCCAGCGAGCCCACTCGTGCACCAGAGGCCAAGGGCACGAGCGTCTGAGACCCCCAGGTACACTCTAACATGGGACCACCAGTCCTGGCTGAAGTCCTGGGCGGACTGGGTTGAAACCAACACTGGCTCAGGTGAACCCCATCTCTGCCACTCTTGCAAGATGCATTATACAAAAGCTCAAAAAAAAAGAACCCATCTCAAGGAACGGCGGTCAGGTCCGCACAGCACAGAGCATTCTCTGGAAAGCAGCCCCGGGGAGAGGCACTTACTCTTGGGGATTCCCAGCCGGCGCTGCTCCTTCTTGAAGCCGCTGAAGGTGGCTTTCAAGGCCTGACTCATCACGGCCTTGCTGCAGGGGGTGAGCAGGGGCAGCTCACAGCTGGCCGCATCTGGAAAGAAACCCCGGGGCGACGTTAGGGTCCCACAGCGGGCCGTGTCGGAGGGAGAAATCCTACTCTTCAGAAAAGAACGGTTCTGATCTCCAACCCTGACATAATTCCGTAAAGGGGTATGAATATCAACAGAATATTTTTGGATGAAAATTGAAAAAAAACTATCAGACATCTCGTTAACAACACTGATTAAAAACAATCTACAGTGTTATGCCCGGGGAACATGTCTAGTGGAGGCTATTTGAAAGTTTTAGACAATGAGAGAAAACGCAGGATTTTTGGCCCAAAGGCTTGAGGGATTGTAAATACATCACTTGGAAGCCAATTCCATTACACTGAGCAGCAGGCAGAGACTCGGGGCCCTGTACAAACACAGGCCTCCGTGCCCATGAGCTTGGCGCACTTCCAACTTGTATTGAGAAACAGTCTTCTCTGGACTCCCTCAGCAATTTCAGGAATGATAAATGACTGTCGCACGATGGCACGCTGACGCAAGCACATGTGTTTTAATTAATTTTCTGGACTCTATTTTCCAGCACCTACTTCATATGACAAAGTCATCTCTGGAATGTCTCCAACTAATAACTCTCTCATGGTAACTGCAGAGGCGTTCCTCGACGTGCCAGCCCCTTCTGAAGGGTAAACATGGCACGAGGAACTACACTACAGAAGTAAAAACAGATGGGTAAAGATTAGCAGGAGTGACTGGCTTGCCCCCAGCCTCCAGGGGATGATCTGTGAACCCAGGAGAAAAAGTTGGGGTGCATTTTAACGTGCCCCCTCTGCTGCTCTGCTGAGTGACCCTGGGTGCTGCGGGCCGGAGACACCCCGATGGAGACCTCAGGGTCCTCTGCAGGGTTGCCCGCAGCAGGACACCAGCCCTCCCTGGGCAGCGTGCGGCAGGGGAGACGTCAGAATCCCCACACGCACAGGAGAGGAAAACGGTCTTGTCCCAGGTCCAGGGCCTCCTTCTGGCTTTTTACACCAAAGACCCAAGACACCGCTGCTCCTGACTCCTCAACTGTCATCTCTTTACTAAGGGAGCTGCTCTGGGCAGTCACGTGCGACCCGTCCACCGGGGCAGCAGGTTACCGTGGGAGATGGAGTCCAAGCCCGTGGGCACCTCTTGGAGCGCTTGCTTCTCGTTCAGGGAGGGGAAGATGGCAAACAGGGACCCGTCCAGGGTGTCAAAGGCTGGCTGGCGCTGCAAAAACGGGTGGAAAGAACACAGACATATAATATTTACCTACTTAATGAGCGGTTTTCAAAGGGGTCTTTGGGCAAGCTGACCGATGCACCCTGACCACACCGGCCACGGTGAAGCCTCGCCTGGAATAAACCGGCAGGACTCAAGCAGCTTTCTAGGACGGCCCATGGGGTCAAAAGGAGTCCTCGTCACTCCGGGTCATTAAATCACCCTCGCAAAGCCGGGACGACCGGGAGTTCATTTTCAATGGCCTCCTCCGCGTAAATGAATAAAGTAGGTAAACGATCCTGAAAACACCAGAATCCCAGAGCAGTGCCGGGACGGGGCTCGGAGCCCAGCTGGTCCGAACACCTGGCCCTCCTGTGGCATCATCGGAGAGGAATCCAGTCAGGCCGCGGGCAGGAGAAAAACGACCTTTTGCAAAGCCGTTTCAGGTCACCGCGTTTAACGTGAAAGGCCGATGGCTGAACGAAAACCGAAAATCACACGATGACATAAAAGAGCCGCGGATGCGCTTCTTTTGAAATGTTCATAACGAAACACTTTCACTGAAAGTAGGTGTTTCCCCCCCATCCACCCCAGTGGTTCAGAAGATAGTAAAACATGTGAGAAAGTTCCTTAAGGTGCATTTTTACAAAAGCAAAGCGTATTAAAAAGAACCTCCCCTCCCCCGCCCCACAGCCACCTGCGGTGAAGGATTATTTCCAAAGGACACAGACTGTCCAGTGAGAACCATCTACCGATCGGGGAAGGGAGGGCAGGGTGCCCAGAGACGAAACCCCACTCGGGGTGCCGCTCTCATCCCAGCGTTTGTCAACAAAACAGCCTTTCGTGTGGGACTCGCTCCCGAGTCACAGAGGAGGCCCTGAGTCACCACTGCCCGGCTCGTTAAGGGAAAAAAAAAAATGTGAAGAAAGATTACACTTCTCCAACATAAGCTGGAAATCCCAGGTCCTGTGTAATCCAGTGACACGTGCTGAGTCATCCCGAAGAGAATGGGTCACACATTTACAAACACAATGGGTCCGTGTGCTTTCGTTTTAGAAATGCAGAAGGAGGGGGGCACAGATTACACAAGAGGGCTGGCGCGGGCCCAGCCGCTCTGGGCGACGAGTCCCAGGGCCCGCCCGGCCCTCCAGGACCCGCGGCGTCGAGGGAAAAACCAAACAGGCATGTTCGGAATACTCATCCAGATTATATAAACGGATCCATCACGTCGGGCTAACTCGGGGGGAAAAGACCCAATCGACGTTTCACCTTCCGACTAGCACTGCGCCCAAGTGACTAAGAAACGTCTTTCCTTCACTGACCGTAAGTTCTTTTTTTTAAAAAATCAGGAAGTCAAAAGACAATCCCCACTCGTGCTGGGTATTTCAACACACCAATTCCAGGGACCGCTCTCCCCCACCATCCAGAAATCGCACGGACAACACCAACTCATCTTTTAATTTGCGGGAGGATTTTTCTGCCTGGGGGTGTGGTTTCAAAGTCGGTACCATCGCAGCCTGTCCAGTGCCCGCCACGCTGAAAACACCTGACCAAACCAACCAGAAAGCGCCCTAGCCTGAAGCTGGACGACCTACAGAATCCTCGAGAAAGGCCTGAGCCCATTTTTTTTTTTTTTTGGCTCTTTGGGTCCCATCAGACAAATAACCTCACGGTGATCTCCAGAGTAAAACAGAGCATGCCAGAGGCACCTATTTATACCAAACCCGGAGCTCGGAGGAGGCCCACCGAAAACCACCGCTTCTGAGATGCGTTGACGACACGCAGCTAAAAACGAGGAGAAGGCAGACGGGGAATCACCCATTGGCATGGCTGTGGCATGCTCCCACGGAGAATTAAGACAGAAGCCCCGTGACCTGTGTGTGCAGCAGAAGCGCCTTTCATCTCTCCTCTGTTTGCTGGCTCCCACGCACACAGCTGCCCCGCGGGCTCGGGCACGTCAGCCAGAAGCAGCGGCGAGGCCGGCCCGCCTCTCCCAGGCAGTTCCACTGCACCTCTGAAACAGTCTTCCCACGGTCCGAGGGGACTCCTGCTCTGGCCGCCTGAGGACCACGGGCCTTTTTACCTGGCAGGGCTCTCAGACGCAAACAACCAAGGCCTCAACTCCTACAGGTTAAATGGGTTTGTACCCTGGAGGACAAACAGTATCGGTATCAGGACGCCCATTTTACAGACCAGGAAACTGAGGACCAGAGAGAGGAGGCCAACAGCCCAGAGTCACACAGCCAGGGAATTGAAAACTGGGGCTAGAACCCGCCGTCTGGGGCCCAGCCCGGCCGGTTTTGTTCCGTTTTGTTTTCCGCCGAGAGACCGAGCTTTCTAAATTGTATAAAAGAACTTTTAATCGGGACTTCACTCACCTTGAGTGTCCCTCTGTAGCTGTTAGACACAGGGGCCACCTGGTCCATGTTCTTGATTCCAAAATCATTCATCTTAAAGAAAAAAAAAAAGGAAGAGGAAAATGAAGAGTCAGAGGCAACAAGTCAAGTATTAACATTTCTAAGGCGTCTTCAGGGGGCTGCCCGGCTACACAGACACTGAATTCTGGGGAATCTGTCAGGTTCTACCCATTCATGGTCATTCAGAACCAAACGCCAGGAATTCTTATTTAAAAGCCCTTCCCACAAAGGCTCTGCAATTGAAGTAGTTAAGTAATAATACGCTAATTCCCACTGAATGCCACTTAGATCAAATCGCTTTCTGTGGCTGCTCTGAGCCTCCCTAAGGCAGCCTGTGAGCTTCTGGGACAGGAGGGGGGAGGGCCTGGGGAGGTGCCACCTCCGGGCTGCCAGGGGGCAGCGGCTCCGCCCAGGAGCCTCAGGGGCACCGGAGAGGGCCCACCCCAGGCAGCTCCGGATAGGTCCAGATCCTGGGAGAAGCAGGCACAGGAGCCCCGAGGCGCCCCCCACTCCACACCGGAGGGGCTCCCGGCCCTGGAAGATCAGAGGCAGGACCCTTGCTCCCGACCAAACCCTCTTCCTGGTCCCGTGTGAAGCACACAGGCTCCAAACACGGCTGCTTTGTGTCGCCCAGCTGTGCATTTCCTCAAGAGGCCACTCCAACCCCAGGTCTGCCTGGCTTGCTCTGATAGCCTCTGGGCTCCCACGGGACCTGCGACCTGCGCTGCCCAACCGGGTGGCCACCAGCCGCGTGTGTGGCTGCTGGGCACCTGGCACACAGCCGGGATGCGGGTAACACACACACACACGTGATTTCAAAGATCTCGCGGAAAAAAGTAAAAAATCTCAGTAATAACATTATAGTCACTGAGTGTTTGCATAACATTTTGGATATATTTGGTGAATGGAAATATGCTGAAATGAAGCTCACCTACTTTATGTATTTAACGTGGCTGTCAGAAAACTTAGTTACATATGTGGCCTGCATCTGGGCCACGCTGTAACAGACCAAGAACTGACCTGGGGCCTTAAAACGTAATTGTTCTGCCAGGTAAATGACATACTAGTAAGTGAGACAGGTACCTCGATAAGGCCACCAGTGTTAGATAAAAGACCAGAGAAACTAGAACTCATTTTCAAATGACCTGGGTGAGTTCCTGGCCACGGAACTGAAGGCCCACAAGGCAACTTGACGGGGCCGGCTAACTGTCCCCCCGTCTCCCCTGGGTGCTCCCACCTGTTCCAACTAAGACCTTCGGGTAATTAACACATACTGTGCAATTGGCAGCACTCACTGGAGGTGGCCAATGGCATATTTTGCTGTAACGAATTGGGTTTCTTGGTTGCTTTCTTGATTTTTCTTCATGATCAATCTTGTGGCTAAACCAAGCTCCCCAAACAACTCAGCACGTGCACACACGTGCACACACGCACAAGCACCTACACGCTGCCCCCCCAACCCCCCCGAAAGTCAGGGGGGTGGTGTCTGTCTCAGGGGAGGCCAGAGGCGCTGCACAGGGCTGTTAAAACCCTCCGAGTGCGGGTAACTGCCCTGGCGGCCAGGGGGGCTGGGGAGCACCAGGATGATGTGATAGAGCTGCTTGGGGAGGGCAGGGGAGGGCCCGGGCTTGCCCTGGACCAAAAGTGGTCACTTATGCTCAGAATCTCCACTTTGTGGGCCACTCGCGCTCAAGAATCAACATTCACTACTGGTGCCGGCTGCCGTGACGGATTCCTCCTCGCTAAGGGCTGAGTCTGCACTGGGGACTGTTCCTCCTTCCCACCTCACTGAGTCTCCCAGACATTCCTGAGAAGTCGGTGTGCCGGGGTGAGGCCCGGAGACCTCCGGGAACCTGTCCAGGGTCACACAGGTACCACCAGGGCTTTCAAGGGGCACAGTGCAGACCACGTGGCCGTCCAGGGTGGCTCAGACCCGAGCACCCGTGTGCCAGGACAACCTGGTGGGCCTGGGCCTCGTCCCGCCGCACCCCGCAGACCCCAGACAGCACGCAGATACCAGACCCGGCCCCTGCGGGCTACATGTCAGGTTGTGAAAGGCCCCCTTAGCTCAGAGCTTTCTGGCGTGCATCTGAACCGACCAAGTCCTGTTAACCTGTGCATTACATACACAAGCCTCAAACCCTAGACCAAAATGCAGAGCCCGCCTCCTTTTCCACATCTGGTTTGCAGAAGCTGGGTGACTTGGGAAACAGAGAATACTGTCCCACCTTCACAGAGAGCGAGGACGCGTCAGGTGATGGAACAGCTTCGGGGGGGGGGGGGGCTGGAGGGGGTTTGTGTACAAATACTTGGGAGGAGAAAAGGCAGCCTACCACGCCCACATAAACAGTGGTAACTACTCACTACAGAACAGAACTCTTCTGCGGTCCAGCTTTTAACTCGCTTTGTAAGAACCACACAGAACCAAAGTGGTTTCAGGCAGACACAGGACTAACCGAATTTGAGCTCATTCACTTATTGCACTCAACATGGCTCCTTAAGGTGGCCGACAGGCCACGTTTCTCCATGTAAATCAATTTTAAATTTGGGTCCTTTTGGTGTCGACCTTTGGATTGCTGCTTGTGAACAAATTTTTTTTTTTTTAAATAGAAAGACAAGGAAAATGGCAGAAATCTAAGTGTTGAGGATGGTTAAACTTTTAAACAGCAGAACCTGCCTGACAGCCACAGCCTTCGTGGAACAAGTGATCACTCACGTGAGATCAGACCACAGGCTTGTATGTAGGGAAATTGAAAAAAAAAAAAAAAGAAAAAGTTGAAACCAACAGGTACCCCACCGCCCAATATACTTTTCAAAGGCTGGTGTGCTTTTTCCCCCTTGAAAGTTACCACTTTAGCGAGAGGAATGACTAATCCCAGCAATGAGTGTCTGATATTTCCCTGCAGAACTGCCGGTGCTAACATTTACTGTACCATGATATTACTCAGAATTTTAATAAACCTTAACTTGGAGATTTATCTCCCTGATGGGTGGTGGTGTGGGCAGGCAGATGGCGTACAGGCGCTGCCATTGTCCGGAACAAACAGAGTCTCTCAGTGGTGAATTAAAATAAATTACCCTTATCTCCACGGGGGACTGCTCACTTCTTTACTTTCTAAGTAAGTAGCACGTCAACTACTATTTTAAGCTACCTTAAATTGAATACAGGCCAATATAAAAAGTCGCCTGTGCTTTAAAAAAAAAAACCCCAAAACCTCAATGCACAAACGCTCACTGATATCCCTTCATTAAAAATGCTTCAAGAACAAGAAAACAAAAGCAGCCCTTCGCACCCCCCTCCCCATTTCCGATAGGCTCCCGCTGCTCGACTCGCAGAGCCCAAGGGCCCTCCCTGATCATCCACTCCTGGGCGCCCGGCGGGGGTCTCGTCCTAGAGACAGGACGCGCGGGCCGCCCCGGGCGGGCCCTGGACGTGGCCGAGCAGGTGACCAGGGGCCCAACGTTTTCGGGGAGCCGCAGTCTCCCAGGTATTTGAGGTGGTCGGCGCCCCAGGTCCGCCCTGGCCCGGCGCGCTGCGGTAAGTCAGCCGCAACCCCGGGCGCCCTGGAGCCCCCTCCGACAATCTTTCCTGCGTACTCCCAGCCCCTTCGCGAAATCAGGTTCCCCGGAGTGCCCAAAGGCAGGAACCGCCACCAGGGCCTCGACATTCTTTTTAAAAACAATAACAAGCGAAACAAACCGGCGCGCACGCCCGCCCCAGCCGGCTCGGCGACCCTGGGGGCCGCGGCCCAAGTTCGCCGCCCGCTCCCCGCGTCACGACCCGGCCCATCACGAGCCCTACCCTGGGCCCCGCGTCCCGACCGTCCTCAAAGCCACCGGGCCACCCGCAACGCGAGCCCGGAGAGGCACGGAACCCAGACCCAGACGCGCGACCCCCGAACCCTAGGAGTAGCCACCACCCAGCTTGGACCCCGGCGTACGGACCTCGGCGCTACTCAGGTCCCCAGCCCGGCTTCTAGGTCCCCGGGGAGAGGAGCGGGCGCCGGAGGGCGCTATGTACCGACCCCCCGGCCCGCGCCGGGCCGGACCGCCCACCCGGGACCCAGCTCTTACCGCGCCGCTTCTGGCAGGGCCGGCGCGCGGTCGGGCGGCAGCTGCTCGGGCCCGGGCTTCTCGGTGCGATCGCGGCTGGGCCGGGGCCGAGGCGCGGGTGGGGCGCTCCGGGAGGCCGGGGCGAGGGCAGGCAGGCGGTCAGGCGGGCGGGCAGTCGAGCAGGCGAACGGGAGGCTCCGGGCGCTCGGGGTTGCGGCTGCCCTGCGCTCCGCACCGCCGCTGGAGGAAGTAATCCGCCCGGTCCCTTCGCAACGAGCTCTTCAGGATCGGTGAGAGGGGGGCGGAGGGAGGGGAGACTACAGGGGACGGGAGGAGGGGCATCGAGAGGGGAGGGGAGAGAGAAGGGGAGGGCCGAAGGATGGGGGGAGGAGGAGAGGAGGCGAGGGTTGAGAGGAAGAGGAGGGAGGGCAACGGGGGTGGGGTAGGGGCGGAGCCGGGTTTTTCCGGCCCGGACCTCGCTGCGCCCCAAGGCCGCCGGCCTCCGTCACTCCCTCGCGTGCGCCCCGGAGCTCAGGCGGAGAGTCTCCCCAAGTCGCGAGCCTTGAACCCCAAATACTGGTGCTGGTGGCCCCGAGCGGCCTCAGGGCTTGGGTAATAAGAGGCCCCATTCTGGGACGTCTTCCTAGAGCTTTGATTCCTTATCATTCTTTTTGTGAAAAGACTGTGAATGAGATGATACACGTGCGAACGGGGCCCTGTGCTGGGGGGCTGGGTCCACCCTGCCCCAGGCAGTCCGGTTCCCACAGCCTCCGTGTGGGTAGCGCCCCCTAGAGTTGAGCGATGCCTCAGCTGTAACCAACCTGAGCTGCTGTGATCTAAGGCGCACGATAATTCTCCAAGACCTTCTTGTTCCCCCTTTAAATATGAGGGAATTGAACCTCGGGGTAAATAACTTGCCGGGTCATAAAACGTGTAATTACCACCCACGGTCCAAACCATTGCCCATATTCTGCCAAGTTTCCATTTTTAGCAGAAAGCACTTGAGTCGGTGGCTAGAAGAAGTGCGTGTGCACTCCCTGTGCAAAATTCACGTCAGATTCTCAGGATTTGGGAGGAAAATATAGATTCCTGAAGGTGGATATAAAATAAAGTCGCCCAGCTTAGGCAAGGCCACGGGACTAAAAATTGGTGCATCTCAGGGACCCAGTGCTGTTAAACCGGAGGAACTGCCTCCATTCTCTGTTACCATGGCAACCCTAAATCCAGAGTTACTCAGATAATTGAGGTGCCACGGGTACCTTAGTGTTTCCAGGTACCTGAGGGTCGCCAGGTATCATCATTGCACAGGTCAATGGCAGGGTCTGCAAGGCTGGGACAAGCCAGTACAGTGGGCACTGATATTTCCAGTACACTGAATTCATTCTGATGGCTCCTCAGTGTGTATTTGGGTCCCCAGTCACAAGCCATAGATAGGTCAACAAAGAGTGTCATAAACGGAACGCAGATCCATAGTAAGTTACCATGGAGACATGAAGAGTCTGCTACTTTTTAAGGTAGCAGAAAAGACAGACTCCTTTGGGCTGCAGTTTTATCTGATAGAGGATTTCCCCCCCAGGCTACACACCACAGGCCTTGATAGTGTCTGAGAAGCTGGGTGCCCACAGCCACGAGGTCAAGTTCATTTGCTCAAAATGGGACTGCCTGTCCACTGCACCTTCTCTGGCACCCACGGGGGTTCAGTGTGGGATGCCCGGGGCTGAGTCATTGAAGTCCAGTGACTCCTTGGGAAGACGTCATTTCTCCACCAAGGGGCCGGTGCAAGGCTGGGGTGGGCGGTGGCGGGCACTTTGCTTACGCTGGGTCACTTCCAACGTATCTGAGCAGAAAGGTATCAGAAGGAGCTCGGCGGTTTGCAGGCAGTCCACTCCTGACAGCCGATGTTTCTTCTGCTGTAACTCCTCAAACTGTGGGCTCCTTCTCTCCTCTGCAGAAGAAGAGGTGATTCTGGAAACTTTGTCATCAGGCTGGGACGAACAGATGACACAGAACCAAACCAAATGGGTCAGGATTGTATCAGTGTTGAGCCCGTGGCAGAGAGGCTCAAAATGATATAGCTATTATATTTCTTTTTCCAAACTCCCCTCTGAAAGCATCTTATGAAAGGGACCCTTTGAAAAACACATCGTGTACACGAAAAACCGTCATCCCTACCCACTCAGTGGTAAGTGTGTGAAACCCTATTGAAAACGCTCTGGCCAGCCCTAGCAGGTGGGGCTCTGTTGGTCGGAGTGCTGTCCCGTAAGCCAAAAGGTTACAGGTTCAATTCCTGTTCAGGGCACATGCCTCGGTTGTGGGTTTGGTCTCTAGTCCAGGTGCCTGCGAGAGGCAACTAACCAGTGCTCCTCTCACGCGTTGATGTTTCTCTCTCTCTCTTCCCCCCTCCCTCCCACCTCTCCAAAATCAATAAGCATGTCCTTGGGTGAGGATAACAAACAGAAATGATCTGGCCAGAGCACAGATGCCAGAACTGGAAGAGGTACAGGAGGCAGGGGGAGGGAGCCGCAGTCAGAAGCCGGCTGGGACCCTTGACTCCCACCCAGGCCCCTGTCACTCCCTGCCTCCCTTTCTGAGGAGGCCTGGGCTCCTCCAGGCAGCGCCCTTGCCCTTGCCCTGGGTCCTACACTGTGGCCACCCTGCCCTGTGTGCCTGGGTGGTCGCCCGGTCATAATGAGACGGCTTACCCTAGTTCTGGGGCGATATCAGCCTTCCTAACATTTTTTTTTTTTTACCTTCCTGCTATGCGTCGTTTCCTAGCTACTCAGCTGAACTAAGACCTTGGCCCCGGCTGAAGCCCGTGATTACTCATTGACGATTATGGCTTGATTCACAAGGAGCGCGCACTTCACAGTAAATTAAGCCTAATAAAAGCACAGCCCCTGTGCTTCAGGATCAAAAGTCGAAGGCGTGAGAAGGAAATTAACAGGAGCCACCCGGGATGAAATGATCCGATGCCCCGTGTCAACCCCCCGGCTCTTTTCCCCGAAGAAGGAGAGAGGCCCCTGGACCAGGGCAGAGGGGACACTGCCCAGGATACGAATGTGTTATATTTCCATACCAGATGCCCTGGGGGTGAATTACAGATAAGGAGTTCTTTTGAAGGCCAGACATAATTATTAAAAGTGATTAGCTTACCAAGTCACCCTTTGAAAAATGAGCAAAAATGTGTCCCTATACACATGCCCGTGTTTCCCTTGAAATCCAGATCGATAGCCCACACACAGTTCCAGGTGGTCTCTCCAGGGCCAGCTGGAGACGTCATCTGCCCTGAGCTGTATTCTTTCTTCATTCAGCAAACAGTGTCACCCGCCGAGAAGACAGAGGTGAGGAAGGCTTCACCCCCGCCCTTGAAGTGCCCAGCACAGTGAAAATCACACGCAGATACGAGACTCTGGCAATCCTGATGGGGGCGGGGGGTGGGGCGGGAGAGAAGAACACACTGAGAAGCAGAAATAATGTAATTCGTGCACATTGGCATCTGTGTTTCCTTTCCTGCCCGCCCACCCTGGCTCACTGGGTGGGGCTCAGAAGGATCAGGTATTCCACGGATACATGTCAGGTCCGGGAACGGATCAAGTCTGGCTTTATACCGCCCCCAACCCCGCCACCCCTTCACCCCATCCCCACCTCCCGCCTCCAGGTGTCCACACAACTCATATAATATCCGTCTGGCCCCCTGCTCTTGCCCACCGGGAGACCCCCACAGGGACCAGGCATCCCTCGCTGCCCTGGGGTGGCCTAGCAGCCTCCCCATCTCCCAAAAACGGTGGTTCCCAGGGCTGCCTGTGTCTACTGTCCTCTTTTAAATTCCTGGCAGCAGCAGCAGCAGCCACGGGGCTTTCCTAGAAGTCAAAGCCGTTTCCTAAGGGCCTGTTGTGATTCTTTTCTGCCTGTGGGCGGCCTCATGCATCCCCTGGGCCCTCTGTGGGCACAAAAGCATAATAACTGGATGGAGCGGAGGTCTTTCCCTCCGCAGGGCAGCCCGTGGGATCAGATACCCTGGTGTCCAGTCCTGGCTCAGCCCTTCACTAGCCCTCCAGCTGCGAACTCCTGGGCAAGTTCCTGAGCCTCTCTGGGCCTCCGTCGCCTTGTCTGTCAAACGTGCCTGACCGCAGGACCGCTCTGCCAGGGCTGCCTGAGGAGGAACTGAGTTACTGTTTCTGAAGCACTTAGAACAATGCCCGGCACACAGTCCACGCGTGTGATACGTGAGAGTTCTCTGGACCGGGGAGGGGTGGGGGGGCTCAATCCACCTTCCCGGCAGCCTCTCTGATCACTGCTGTGCTGTACGCGCTAAGGCAGGATTTCAGGTCACAGCAAGGAATGAGGTCAAGACCAAGGCTGTCACTAGCGGCCCTGCCTTCTTTCACTGTCATCCTCTTGCCCTGAGTGGTAAAATGCCGGGGCCTGAACACTGGGTTTTCCAACAACTGGAGAACACCTTAGAGCAGGGGTCCCCCAAGCTCTGGGCCATGGGCCAGTACCGGTCTGGGCTTGTTAGGAGCCAGGCTGTACAGACGGTGAGCTTGAACGCAATGTGCTTGAATCATCCCCAAACCATCCACCTCCCCGCCCTCTGCTCCCCCACCGTCTGAGAAAAAATGATCTCCCACAAACTGGTCCCTGGCGCCAGAAAGGTTCGGGACCACCGCTTTAGAGAGTTGGTAAGCGAGACCAGCTCCTGTTTTTTTAAGGAAACCGAGGCCCAAGGGGGATCGATTCCTTCCCACAGTCACGTGGCTGCTTTCTGGCAGGGCTGGGACCACACACTCCGGCCCGCCGGTCATTTTCCCTTATAAGGCAGCGCTCCGTATATAAACCACCTTCCCCATCCACCACGGCATTAAAGGACACGATGACGTGCCTAAGGCAAGCCCAAACAGCAGAAGTAGCGAGAGGACCTGCTGCATTCTGTAGCATTGATAACCCCTAAATAAACGGGTTGGAGGGTGAGTCAGACCCGCACAGACACATGGTTTGGTCACCCGAGTGTTGGCTCTGTGGCCAGTAGGGTTCCCACAGCGCGCTCCGGAATGGAGAGTGCGTGCACGCGCTGACCTCACCTCGAACCGGCACCCTCCGCTCCTGGTCTTCCCACCCCCCGAGGGCTGGTCCGTCTAGCAGAGGCTTGTCATTTAATTCCCCTGCCACTGCTGGTGACAATATAAGACCCGGATGAACGTTTTGGAGCTAAACAATGCTGCAGACTTAAGCAGGCACGCATGTGAGTAAGTCACTGAGACGCTGGGTTGTCTACGCTGCGCCCACACTTCGGAGGAACGGCTCGC